AAAAGACTGAGCCTCCTTGAAGTACCTACCTGGAATCTAGCTTCATTTGGAAATTCTTTTTGGTTGAGCCTTTGGAAAATCTGGCTTTTTTAGTTTTTAAATGTGCTGGGCACTGACTTTAGGTTTACATGTACCCTTACAGTGCACTTAAGAATCCTTTGCATCAGTTCCAACGACTTGATCAAGGCACCACTGAAATAATTTTGAGTTTTTTCCATTTACTTTATGGATACTTTACCTATGGATACCCAAAAGGAACTCACTCCTAGGGGCCTATGGTTTAAGAGGTCTCCTGGAGCAACTTCAAGTGACTGTACAAATCTGCTTTGGAACAGGAAGAATCAAAACATTAATTTACAAATAAATCACAAAGCTGCCTCATTGCTTTTATAGAGTAGGGTATGATTTCTTTAGGAGCCAACATGTCGCCAACTTAGAGCAACTGGACAATGTTGCTTGGATGAGGAAGAACATGTGTGTTCATCTTCTACAGGAGGTTGGGTAAGTTACATTAGGCTTTTTCATTATCTTCTGTTTGCATTATAAAATTTGTAGAAAAGGGCCATTTTGAACTATAGCAGCAGCTACTTTTTTGTCCTTGGGCATTTAGTCCAGACTGACCTCTGTGCTTTGTGCTCTCGGTGCTGCAGAAAGGTAGCACAAGCCTATCTGCATTGCTGTATAGTCAGAATGCAGACAGGTTTGACCTTTTTAGTGACATTTTCCAGTGAGAGTGTGAATCTCAATATTAAACATTTAAGTCTGCTTTGTTTTGTGAGGAAGAAAACTATTGATCAGAGACACCTTTCTTAAAAAAGCTCATCTTGATGTGAAGTTGAACTCCCTTAACGGAAGTTCTGCAGCCATCAGCATGGCTTGTTTCTGTGTGCTTGAGACACCAACACTGAATTTCTGAAGAGGAATCACAGCTACTCCTGTGCAATGTTAGTTCATACTTGTAAAGCCTTTCATAAGCATTACTGTGTGTTAGTGGCTCCAAGATCTTCAGGGAAGAAGTGTCTCATTCTTCTGCATTCTATAGTAATTGATATATTGGTATTGCTTCAAAATACATGTTTTATTCTCACTCTACATATGCACATCCTAAAATCACAAGTCACCTCATTTGTGTTTCTTCTGGCAAAGGTTCCACAACTATTATGTATAAGGGTACACATGGAAACTCCAGTACACATAAGCCCCTCAGAAAGGTCTTCCATTCCCTGTGTGCATCTCAGATCTTGTCTCAATCCTCCTGCAAGAAGAGACCATAGTGCCCTAATATGACTGCATCTTGCTTCATGATGAGGAATTGAATTCCTTGGATAAATTTGCTCTCACTGAAAAACTTTAAGTAGTCTCTAAAGTAAAAGGCCTTTGGTGATTGGAGGAAAACTTGTTTTGGCAGTGAAAAACCTTAGAGCCTCAAGGAACGTAACTGGATGTGCATGTACGTTTGTGCATGTGTGTATTGTCTCTGCCCCTTTAAGAACTGAAAATTGTTGGCCAGCTGCTGCAAAGGTTCTTTGAAGCATGAATCTGACAGGACAGCAGTTGCCAGTTACAAAACAGCACTTACTTTGGGTGCTCTCTTATTTGGCTTTCACTGATTTGCATTCCTCATAGTTGCTTTCATCCGAGTTAAATACCTGGTGCCTAATTATTGTGAAGATCAAGGGACACACAGAATTTTTTGCCATTCCATCAATGGAGTCAGTCAGTAGACTAGGTCATCCAGAGCCAGATCTTATAATTACCACAGCCACGATCTGTTCAGAGCGCCCAGAGATAATGACTGCTTGGGGAAGCAATAAGAGTCTTCAGACTAGGATATGTCAGTCTCTTTTCCTATTCAATATACTTGAGACCTGTTGCTATCTGGTGTGATAAGATTTTTGATTCTGAAAATAAATCAGTGAGGCAGAAAAAACTAATCAGCGCTGGTAACATGGCATATCCAGAGTCGCCTTTCATGTAAGCTCCTGAAAGCTCAGAAGATGCATAGCCTCACAAGACGCCTCAGCAGAAAAAAAAGACATCTGTAAACAAGTAGAAAAAGCTAATTTTTATGGTGTGCTGTCAGCATTTAGTTCTTGCAGTGCTTATGCAAGGGTGGAGAGGCTCTCCTTAAGCAGACAAGAAGTCTTTCTGATCACATGGACTGCTGCATTGTTGTCATGTCAAAAATCTGTCAGAAAGCTCCTTAACAGGCACAGTTTATGAAAAGAACATAACTATACCATCCAGCACTGCATTTTCCTGCAGTAGATATTTCACCCAATGTGGCTGCTACACATTCGCTATGACCAGTTTCAGGAAATATGGCAAGATCTTTCTTGAGCCTTGATGTATTTCAAGCAAAGGCTTGAGACTGATGAGTATGATAGTAGTTTGTGAATAGGTATAACAGAACTAAACATTAAAAATCAGTTTTGGCATCTTGAATTTTTGAATGCCACTCAATCTATAAAGTATCAAAACTCAGTGTCACCTCAGGAAAGAATATAATGTGTTGACAAAGACTTGCAGCTTACTCTGAAAATATGCATTCTCCTTCCCCCCTCCCATTTCTTTGCAGATTCATTCAGGTCTTTGCAAACAGAAGAATTCCCACCCGTGGATCCAACACAGGAATTTATATTTCCTCCTGAACTAACGGTAGGTCTTATTGACTTTTGTTGTCATGCAAACATGACTGAGCTACTGCAGATGTTGAAAACATGATGTTTTTGTTAAGCTGAAAGATCTGTCCTCAGATAGATGGAAAAGATCAATTTTAATCAAACATAGTAAAGCAATTCAATGTGGATAATCTATATGTTGTCATTATTACAAATAGTTCATATTTTCAAAAAAGAAATTGTTTACCTCTCCAGAACCAAAACTGTATTTCCAGACTTTTCCCTAAAGAACTCCTTGCTCAGAACCACTTCATTTTGGATCCATTGGCCTCTTGTGTGGAATATAGCATTTTCTTTGAAAGTTCCCAAATGAGCTTTTCCATCTTTTCTGCCTTGTGATTCTCTGTTGGATTCAAGTGACCACAGGACCCACTGTTTCCTTCCAGCTGGTACATAGACCCTGGCAACCTGAGACTGGACTCGCATGTGGGAAATGCTGCAGGTCCACAGGAAAGGCAAAGGACTTGAAAAGTAGAGGGTTTATTGCAGTAGTTATTGGAGAGTCACAGAAGAACGGATGGAAACTGAAAGGAGGAGGAGGAAAGTGCCCATGATCTGTACAGAAAGGCAAGAGAAGACAGCTGTGAGAATGGTAGTGCAGGATTTACCCAGACCTGACTGAGTAGAATCCAAGCAGGCAGGTCCAGGCTGGTTTTTTAATCCTCACTCAAGTTTCAACAGCTTCTTGTGAAATTCCTTGTTTGCACTCCTTTTGCAAATATTCATGGGCACTACTTGCCGCTATTATACAACCACCTTAGAGACACAAAAGTTCATTTGAGTTCTGGGAAAGCATGGCATGGTTCTTTGATTTGTTACTGCATTACAGAATGCTATTTGCTGCAAGGCAGTTGGCTTTGTAAACATTTGTCATAGCGTACAACTTCCTTGTTAATGATTGCCTCTTAGTGCAGAACATGCGTAGTAAGGCATAAGCTCCTTTATGAAATCATGAAGTGGAAGTCAGATTTGCCTTTCTGCCACTTGATGTGCTTTTGAGAGACTCATGCTTTAAGAATGCAAGTATTAAAGGAATATTTTGCAACTTTTATACTTGGATGAAGTATCTTGCCTAAACTGCTGCTGGCTCAAAAAGCTGTTCAGCCAGAAAGGAGGTGCCATCGTCCGGTCTACATGTTCAGACTGAGCTGCCAGGAGGAGTGAACTGCTTCTCCAGGCTACACAAAGTCTTTAACATGACCTTGACTGATTATGCTGAGCTTGTTCAAATCCCATTAGAGTCTGTTTCAAGCTATCAGTAGTTTTAAATAGGTTGAGCATTAAGCTCTGTGTCTAGAAATTAAACCTGCTTGGTGGATATGTTTTAAATGTCTGGAGTACCGGAAAAAGCATGTGAAATGCAGCTGTGAAGATACCTAGGCAGTAATACTTAGTGACAGATTCTTCTATGGCAGGAAGTGTGCCCACACCACTAAGATTATGACTGGTTCCACAGACACACAGCTTCTTTCTTGTGTTTCAGGCATATCTTTTACCTAGAAGGCCAGTCCATAGCTGCAGCAGTTCTCTGGCTTGTCCACTGGTCTGTTTGTTCATTGCATTGTCTGCGAAGACAGGCATTTCACAGTGATTGCTTTTGAATATTTTGAAACCATGATTCCACATGGCACTTGGCAAATATGAAAAGAACATATATGGTATTCTCAGGGGAAAAAAAGGATATATTAGTCTTGTAAGACAGGTGGTGCCTGAAAAACACTTTGATTAAACAAAAATGTAAATACCTATCAACCATCCCAAGGAGACAATATTTCTGAAAAGATTAGTCTTTGCAGAGAAATGGGAAAGTAGGTACTTTAATTTTAAAAACCATTTTACATATTGTAGAAAGTAGTCTGGGTCTACTACGGTAGATACAAGGCACTTAGCAAATGGGGATGCAGTGATCCTCCCTGACTAAGAGAATACACTTCTTGTATTCTGTCACATACACAGTGAGATTTTGGCATCCTGATTTCCCACAAAGTCCAGTCACTTGCTTTATTGTTTACATCATATACAAAGGGAGTCTTTCAGAATTATCAGAGCAGGAGGAAGGAAAACAGAAGACTAATCTTCTCCTACCACTCATTTAGTGTGTCTCTTACCAAGTCATTTAGTTTGTTCTTGTCTCTGTTTCTTGAGCAATAATATAGTTATGATAAAAGCTCAGCATTGTACAGCATGACAGGAACCTCAGATGAAAAGCACCATTAATGTCTCACTGTCTATCATGACACAGTGTCCTACTTAGCAATATGGTCGTTTATATCGACATTAGTCAAAATTACCAAATCTTTGTCATTTCCACCACAGAGAATGGCTCAAGAGCAGCAAAGAACAACTCTGATTTTCCATGGCAAGAGAACAACATGGATTTCTCCCCCTAGCCTGAAGGAACTTCTGAACCTGAAAGCCAAGTATCCAAAGGCACCGCTGGTTGTGGGGAACACCAGCGTGGGTATGGAAGGACAGAAGACCTTTTGACACAGGGATTACATATGCAGTAGGCACATACTCTTGCATTTTATCTTCTGGGGATCCTCTCACCACAATGATTGCACTTCAATATTTAGGCCAATGTAATTTCCTATGATTTTTTGCAGCATACCAATAACTAGATTAGGACTAGCACCACCATCACCCGAGCCCAAGGATTTGTGCTGCCTAACCTCCCAGTAACCTCAGACAATTTGTGTGAATAAAGAAGGACTCACTCATGCTGATGAGAGCCAAACATTTCACATTGACATTAGCTTGAGCATCACAAAATAAATAATGCCCATGAAAAGGGCATGGTAAACCCATATGCCGTGATATCCAGGCACTGGCTAGATTCTGCATATTATGGATGGAGTTTGTTTTTTTTTTATAAATTGTCAGTATCCCTTTTTATGAGGGACTAATCAGTCAGGAGGAATTTGGTAAGAATATTTCTTTCACTGTTGGGACAATAAAGGCCCAGATCAAAAGAGAACCCTTTGGGTCTTCTAGTAATCTGTACATTGCCTAGCCAAGGGCACGACATTTGTTTAGTAGTATACCCTCATGATGCAGTACTTGGCGAAGTGTCAAAATCTTAAGTCTAAAAACTTCAAGTCCATTCACATGAAGGGGAAGCTCTCTGTTGTCATCGGATCAGGCTCTGAAGCAGCTACTGCACAGCAAAGAGGACTACCATAGAAAGCCTGAGGTTTGCAATAGAGAGTGGTCATGAGCTAATCTCATTATGACATGTATAAACTAGTTTAGGAGTAGTTTTTTTTTTAAAGACATTGCACACAAGAAGAGAACAAGGGAAGCGGAAAAATTACGTAGCTCATAGAAGGGTGGAGTAAGTGGCTAGAAACATGATGAAGCAGGTGTGGAATTGTGTATAGCTCTGAGGTGAGAGGTGAAATCTGAATGTGATAGAGGAAAGGACTGGAAACCAATCCAGAGGAGCAAGGAGTAAGAGTCAGGAAAGAGAATATTGGACTTTGGACTTCAGATCAGCCTTTGGACTGCAGAAAGAAGCAGATGAAGTGGGCCTGGTAAAAGCAGTAAAATGTGATATTCAAGATACTGCACAACAAAAAACCATAAGACTTTGAAACTACTTAGTTACAGTGGTTTTGAACATTTTGGTTTCCGTGTCAAGGAATATGGTTAATTCTTCAAACAGATCTTTAATCATACTACCATACTTTGCCTTTCAGGACTCAAAAAAAATCACCATGGTGCCTATCATCCAATCATTCTCCATCCTGTTAGGATTCCAGAAATGCATGTTGTGAGTAGCACAAATGATGGTAAGTCTCCAGGTTACCTCTACTGATGGTACAAAGAGCAGTGACTGAATTCACTTGGGTTTTGTATTTTGACACCAGAAGTAGAAAGAACCATTGACTGTCATTGGTGTGGAATGTTTTGAGTTTTTTCTCTCTGTAGCAATCATTTCACTAAGCCTTTTAACCAATATGTCAGCTCACCTATGGTCTGGAGATGATGTATGGTGACAGACAATTTATGAAACTGTTCTGCAAGAATATATTTGTTCAAATCTCAAATTTCTGCAGACAGCAAACAGAGGGAAAGGCCCTAAGTTAGCCTTTTTTTTGTTTTCACAGATTATGAGCCTTTCTATCACAACCATTGATCTAACAAAGTCTACAAAACATTGATTAGGTTAGGGCTAGATTTTCAACACAAAAATATTCAGACATAAATTTCCAATCCAAAATATCACAAGATTTTCTTTGGAGTGGCTTGGCTGGATTCTCAGCTAATAGAAATTATCACAGATGCACTGACATCACAAGGGCTGTGCTAATGCCCATTATACGAGAATCCAATCTGGTAGGCCCATCACGTCCATGAGTGGAGGCACTACACCTGTAGCAAAAGAATGAAATGCAGCATGTTCTCCATGGGAAATCAGGCTATTAAAAATTAGGGAAATTAACATTTTGTTACAGTTGCCTCTTTCTCTTCTTATGTTCTCCTAGCTCCATGATTTACGGCAGCTACTGAATTATACATACTTTCAAATTATTATGCTAATATCAGTGCAACTTTGTATTTAAGTAGATCCATCAATAAAAGCCTACTTTAGAACATGGCCCCTTTGTTCAGAAAAAACACTACACAATACTTGAAGACTTCTCTGCAGAATTACTCCAGCATTCACTGAAGTCCATGGTAGTGGCTTCTCTGGTACTACTGGAAGTGTGATTGAGTGTGGCTCAGTCTTGGAAAATTACAACAATTTGGTCATCCTTCATCCTAATGAGTCAACTGTTGTCCATGTCTCTGGGGATACACAGCACAGAAAACGGATGTGCATTGGTGTATGCAAATATGCAATGTATATTTTTCAGGTATGCATTTATACTGGGAACCATCACTGAATAAGCAAACAGTATTTGCATTTCTTATTGCATGGAATATAAAATGCATCTTACCATCACTTCTCTTTGTCATCCTGCTAACAAGAGCTGTGTACAAAAGCAAATCTTTAGAGGCCTTATCAGCTATATATTGCATTTATATTGTGGCACTATGATTTCACTGTTTAAACTCATTTGATTTCAGGGCTAGTGATAGGAGCTGCCTGCTGCTTGGCCCAGCTCAGAGATATCCTGATGGAGGCAGTCCCAAAACTTGCAGAGGAGAAAACAAAAATCTACCGAGCTCTCTTGCAGCACCTGAGAACTCTAGCTGGAGAACAGATGAGGAGCATGGCAGTATGTATTCAGCAGTGACAGTAAATAAGCCAACATTACAGACATATCTGTGTGACTTACAAATATATGGAGAAAAGCTGGGTGAGGCTGGGATCATGCCTCCTAAGGGTAAATAGTTAATACCATCACAAATGTTGTATGAAATAATTGGGAGTCCTACACTAGTTAGCAGGGGCAAATATCCAGAGAACTGCAACCAGAGAAAATCCTGCTATCCCTGCTTGCTGGCTGAGCAGAACTGGAAGAGGCTGAGTAAAGAAGAAAAGTGGGGTTCTCTGGTAAGGTACTGTACACCCTGCAGCCAATCATACTTTAACTTAACTATCAATGCATAGCTGTTTACCCATCATGTGTTAGGCATCTCTGATCTTGTCCCTGATTTTCCTTTAAAATTCCCTTACCTCAATACCTTGTATTTCTTCCTTTAATTAAGGGAATGGCCATCTCTTTGGGGGATGGGGGGCACGAAAGTAAACCTGGTCTCTCAACAGAGATGATATGATAAAGGACTTTTGAAGGGAACAATAAATTAAATCATATTAAAAAGTATGTATGTAGAACTTCAATTAAGATTGAACAAAACAAATATAAGTTCTTCCAAGAGGCCTTTTAAGTGAATAAAATGGGGTTATGATACAGATCCCTGTTATGTCTAAGAAGGGCAAGCCTAAAAATAACCTCACTGTTTGTTAAAGTCTTTAGGAGGACACACAGTAAGCAGGGGATCAACCTGGGACTTGAACCCAATCTCATCAGTTGGCAAATCTGTTCTCAGTTTGGCATCAGAAGGTAAGCTTTGGACCTCCTGCCAAATACCTTTGCCAGATGGGCAGAGCACTGCAACAGAGAATATGGCTATAGGTAACAGTTTTCAAATGAAACACTACTGTGCATCTCCTAGATGAATTAGAATGGTACATGTTGCTGAATGGAGGACAACGTTCTCCTGGTATTTGCCTGTCATTTTAACTGGCAAAAAGTGTCTGCTAGTAAAAAATGCTATCTGTCCATTTCACAAGGCAAAAGGAAACAACATCTAGCAATCTCATGAAAGTGAGGTGGGCAGGCCTGACAGGTAGAAAGACTTTGGCTATATCGCTCCATTTATTGGACAGGTTAGCTTTATCTTGTAACTCCACCACTGTTTGCTTTTATTGCTTATGTCTCTCTCATTTTAAGAAAAATGGTTCATTCTCTAAGGCCATGCACCTAGAAACTTCTCTTGAAGTCACTGGTACATTTTTTGCATATGTGTGGGTGTATACATGTGCATCGTGTTTAAATAACACTTCCAGTAATCAAGCCCAAGCAAGTCCCATCCTTGTCACATAGAATCTGTGGGTACTTTGGAAAATCTTGGCAACAATTTCTACTGTCTTTGAACTAAAGATGTACAGGGCAGATTCTCTGTCTCATTGCAGTGCTTGATAGTTTCTTAAAAGCTTACTGTGCTTTAATGATTTAATGATCTAAGAGCTTTTGAGGAGAAACAACATAGCTGTATTTAAACCTAGATCTCTGATTTTCTGAATATTATTAGCATTTGTAAGACATATATTTTCTAGAAAGTATAAAGTATTTAGTATTTTGTGTGTAATGGGGAACTAAATCATATAGGGAAATATATTTCACTTAACATGTATCATAAAGATTAGCCTTTCCACTCAAAGGATTTTGCAGTCTAAGGCTAGATCCTGAATGGAGCAGACTGCACTAAGGCCATATTGGCCTTAATATATTCTTTTGCACAGATTCAATGAAATTTGAATCTGCAATACTGAAATGTTTCTTTCTTGCTCCACATTTGACTACAGACTTAACAGACTACAGTTTTCTCCAACAGATGGGAAAAGACAGATTCTTTTAAATGATCAGTTTCTTGCTGGCTGTGAGCATGCAGACCTAAAGGCCAAGGAAGTCATTGTTTCTGTTCTCATCCCATACTCTATGAAGGTAAGACCTTGATGTTTCAGAGGTTTCATCCAGGTTCCAGTGTAGTTACTGGGAATATTTCCATTATTTTCAGTAGGCATTGAAACATGCAGGTTACTACTGCTTTGGAAGTATCTAAGAAAGTTCTGGCATCCCTCCATCACCTCTCCCACTTCTTCCAGCTGTCCATCATCTTCTACATCTTTGGGCCTCTCATTGTTTTTTCCCCCACTCTTAAAGGTGCTCTTGTGCCCCTTCCAGACAAGAAATTTGGGCTGCCTGAATATTTCCAGGGGAAATGCCATATTGTCACACAGTCTTCAGCAATAAAGCTCATTTCCAGCCTCTTCTCACTAATTAGCTATTTACACTGAACAGTCCTGAGCTGTCATTGCAACTACTCACAAAATAAGGTCCTAACTACTGTGACCAAAGGTGGCAGCATGTGGCTTTTGGGTGTTAGGGACAGAGGAAATGGTGTCACTGTTACTGTGTTCTTAGATGTCCCTCTAGTGGATGTGAGGAAAAGTACGGGGCAAGTAGAGGAAACCCAACAAGCTAGTCTGATGTGATTGAAATCAATGAGGGAGTGACCAAAGGAGTCTCTGCCAACCTTGACATCAGGGGGTGAGTCATACTAAACATATGTGGCCTCATGCTGGAGGAGTGCTTCTGCCCATGAGAGGCTGGCTGGCCATGGCAGGTTTCCCCTGAAAAACAAGATTCCCATGAGCTCAAAGCCTGCAAAAGCATGATCTGTATTGGCAGCAGCAACAGTGCTGCTGCTGCCCAGAAACTTGGAGCCTTAGTGGTGATTTGAGAGACAAACAGCCTGGAAGAGAAAAGTAAGGAGGAATGTGTTAGTTCCCTCCACAAAGTAAAAGAAAAGAGAAATCCCAACCTGCTTTGTCCCATGACAAGTTGTGCCGCAGAACTAAAGCTATCACAGAGGGTGTTTCAGAGTCTTGCCTTTCAGAGAGATGCAGCTGCACCTAAGAACAGCAGAGGTGGAGACAACAGAATGAATAAAAGAAAACAGCACTGCTGGCAAACTCAAAAGGACACTTCGAAGAGCAGGAAAATTATCTATCAGCCATCACATGAACAACATGGGGGATTAGGCAGCCTCACCACAGGAAATTAACACCATTTTTTGGGAGGTTGCTTCTGCCATTCATTTTCATGCTGAATTGCCTTTTTGATTAACTCTGCTGACACAATGAAAAGGCATGTGCATACTTTTTTTGCAAGGCTTGTCAACAGATAGTGTAGATGGAAACCTGGCAGCTGCTGGCTTTTGGTTTTGAGTAGCTTGATGTGAATGTTGCTTCAGTGAAGTAATGTAAATCTGCTGAGAGGATTTTCTGTCTCTGACAAGACTCACTGTTCAACATGTAATCCTGAATTTTACATTTGTCATGAGAGTATCACATACTCATAGTGACAGATCTAACCTGCTAACTCCTACTTTAAAAGTTCTGTGGCTGTCTGAATCTGAAGTTTCTTTCCGGGGCTACAGAAAGGGCACTTTATACACTTTCTTCAAAGGACTCGTATGTGCCTGATCATGAAAGAAATTGCTATTATGTTTCCTTTTAAAATATGTGGATTTGTCACCAGAACAAAATATTTCTGACAGTAGAAAGCCCAGCTGTTTCTATTGCCTCCCTCTGTAAATGCCATTACTGTAGCATAAAATGTGAAATCTCCAAGTGTAAAATCTTCACAAAATCAGGTTCCTTAACACAGTGGGGCCTCCGTGTCCTGGAGAAGAAACAACTATTTTCTAAGCTGGAATTCGATTTAAAGGACATACCAGCCATATATGAAGTGGCTTATAGCAGGACTGCTTTTCCAGCACTCTGAAGTCATTAAACTGCTGATAAAATTTAAAATTTGGCATGTTTTCTTAAAAGTAGATAACCTCAAATAATGTCCCCTCTTAGTATGTCTCTCTATGATTAGCTTAGTACTTCAAGAAAAATAAAAAGTTTAATTAAAACAGTAATTCTAGCAAATGTTCTTTAAAAATGTTGCTTTCTTTGGACAGTGGTAACACCTAAAATACAAGGAATAATAGATTTGTTTTCTTTCAATCAATTTCTGCCATTAATGGAATTTTTCCTTCCTTTGTTTACCATTAGAATGACTTTATTTCAGCCTTCAGACAGGCTGAAAGCCAGAAAAATGCTTTGTCCATAGCGAATTCTGGAATGCGAATCCTCTTCTGTCCAGGCACAGACACCATTGTAGATCTGAGTATTTTATATGGAGGCATTGGCTCAACCATACTCAGTGCAAGAAAGTCCTGTGAGAAGCTCATAGGAAGGTATTGAATATCTTCATGTATTTAAGCAAGTGCAGGAGTCATGGTGTGATGCATGGGGTCTGCTTGATTCTGCCAGTGGAGATCCCATCATCAGCCTCTCACAATCTGTATTTGTCCTGTCCTCCCTAACAATAGGTTATTTCTTGATGTAACTTATGCTGATTCACTTATTACTTCCCACATACTTCACAATAGCTTTAGCTGCCTATTACTTATGAAGAAGTGTGTGTTCATGTTAGTCTATTTTTCTACCAGGCAATGGAATGATCAGATGCTGAATGAAGCTTGCAGACTGGTGCTGGAGGAAATTTTTCTCCCTCCATCAGCTCTGGGTGGAAAAGTAGAATACAGAAGAACTCTGCTTGTCAGCTTCCTTTTCAGGTTTTACCTGGAAGTCTTACATGGTTTAAATCAGATGGTAAGGACCGGACAAGAATTGCATACCCACATCAGCGTACAGGCTGCAGGAAAACTCTGCTTTTTTAAAGATTAAGGGATATGAGAGGGAAGGGTAAAGGTGCTAGACTTTACTTCAAAATATGTGAGGGGAAAACTTTTGGTTTAGAAATAAGGATCTGACAACACTGCTCTGACATCACCTTCCTTTCAGTATCCCTTCAGGTGTGCTGAGCAGATGAGTGCTTTGGGAATGCTACAAAGTGATGTTGCCCAGGGTGTCCAGATCTATCAGCTGAGGTGTGTTTGTAGCTGGGACTGCCACAGAGCCTCTATTTTAATGAGTATTTTGCCCTTCTAACTTTTCATTCCTAAACCTCCACTAATGGTTATGTGAAGCTGCTGAAACAGTTGACCCTGTGGGAAATCTTTTACATTTTTGTAGATTTCTGGTCTTTCAGGGTGCAGATGCACTCTTTGCCCTCAAGGTGTTTTGCAGCATCAAGTGGTCCTGACACAGCTGAAAGAGGGGCACAGCTTTCAGCTATGCAAGAGCTCAGCAGAATTTAGTTAAACTGTCCAGTGGGCCTCAGTACAAATAAATGGTATAACCTACTGCAGCATCTCTGTGATTGTTCAAGCCTTAAAAATTTATTCGCAAAGCTACAGTATGAAAGGAAGAGGTGGTTGGCATGTGAAAAAGTTTGTTCAGTAGATTTCAATTTTAAAAATTTTCAAATTTCATCAAGAATTTTCACCCATATTTTTGTTTTGTTGCAAAATTGAAAAACTTTAAAAATCAAACTTCTGCTGCTTCTTATCAGTTTTCCACCAAAAACTTTCAGTGTCAGCCAAGAATTTGTTTTTTTCTCCTTTAAGAGACTAAGAAGATATGTTTTACAGAAAACTCTTTACTCAGTAAAAGCCCAACAAAACCATAAATGTTAGATTTTCACAGTCCCTGATAAAAGTGTTTCAAGTTAATGTGAGCTACCAGCAATTCAACAACATAAAGCACCAAAGCTGTATTTTCATTATATATGTCTGAAATGCTTTCAGTTCCAGGCTGACTTTGAAGTAATAGAGGGCATTGTCGGTAGGAATTTAATTAGCAAAAACCTGGATGAAACCATTTTTTAGTCTAGTCAGCGCTGGCCAGAATATTAATTTACCTGTCTCTTTAGGAGGATGGGCAGGAAGGAATTAGAGTGATCCCTGAATATACTCCTGATTTCAGATATGTTTTCTCTGAAGTAAACAATGTGAAATATGATTGTTTGAAGCAGTGGTGATGCTGAAGTCTGTAAAAGTGTGGCTTGCACAAGGATGCTATCAGAAGCAGTATGGACCCAGCAGACAGGCTAGCTATAAGATCTAGAAGACTTTAGCTCTCCTTTGTCTGCTATGGTTCCACCATGTGAACTAGTCATTTTGCCCCTTTTACCTCTCTTTTTTTGATTTTTATTTTTTTCCTATTTATTTAGTTTACTCTTTCCACGGAAGAGACTGCCATTTACTAGAGACATGAATGGTATCTAACACAGTATGTTTCTCAGATCTCTGACAGGGCACTTTGGTGCCACTATAGCATGAATTCTAAAAATGGAATTAGCCCTTTATAATGTGTCCCACAAATATTGTCATAAAATCTAGATGGTTTCCACATGGATTTTATGATCACAAAACATCCTCAGAAAGTGTTTTTGAGTAAAGCTTTCTATAATTACTGTTCTGGCTTGAGGATACATGTTCCTGTTCTGCAGGATGTTGACCCAGGTGTGACAGAAAAGGACTTAACTGTAAGGTTCAAGCAAACAACTTGAACTTCACTCGCAGACTTAACTGCAAGGTTCAAGCAAATTATTTATTTGAACTTCACTTACAGACTTAACACGCCACTATCACAGGTTTTACAGATACAATGGAGGAATGCACTATTGCAATTTCTTAAGGCAAGAGTAGTACATTATTATAACCACAAGCAATTCACAGACAACCACAAGCACGCACTTGTTTACAAACTTAAAGCATAAAAAATATTCACTTACCCCTCCAGGTAAGGGCTTTCAATCCCAGGGAAGTTACCTCGACCGGTGTCCCAATCAAGCGGGGAAAGGGTTTCCTTCACAAGCCAACTGTATAGTTGGAGAAGTGACTCCCCCATTTCCAACCTGAATCTTAGAGTCTTTATCCCGACTTGTGGAATGGTGTGTATGACTATGTCTGAGTCGATTATGATATATGCCTAAATGGATTATGTGTATCTGAGTGGAGTTTCCCCTTATCTTTCCTTTGTTGGTCTGTGATTGTTTGAATACACAAGGTTGTCATTTGAAACTGAAGCTGAAACCCTCCAGGTTTTGGGGCTTTTCACCTTCCTTCCTCAAGCAACTGAATAGTGGTTGGATTGAGACTCAGGGCATACTATTTTTTAAGGGATTTCAAGGCTCAGTTCAGGTTTTGGTTCTTTGAATGGCACAGCCACTGCCCTGTTTAGTTTAGGGTTTATCAGACAACCCAGGGCTAAGCTGTCTACACAGCTCCCTGTGAGTCGTCTCTGCAGAGAGACAGGGCCTCAAGGCAACCCAAGGCTGGGTCGCTTTTGTAACCCCCCATGAGTCACCTGCGTGCACTAGACATGGTGAAACTCGTTTGTGAACTATGAGCCAGACAATCCACACACCAGGACAGTCTCCACAAGATCCTGTGAGCCGTCCCATCATGCACCAGTCTGGTATTAAGCATACCACTGGCGAAGCGGTTTACATTGATGACATTCGTCCAGTGGATGGAGAACTTTCACTGGCTCTGGTCACCAATATTAAAGCCCACGCAAAGATTACGTAAGCAAGAAAACCTATAAGCACATAAGTATGTTAACAAGTATTTTCTGTTCTTATTGTCCAATTTGGCCATATTATGAGGTATGTATTGCAAATGAGGTAAGAATTTCTTTACTGTGTGCTTTAAATAGTGTCAGATATGGACAGAAGAGTCCATATTAATGCATTCACCCCTTTTAGTACAAAAAAAAATGTAGAAGGGAACTATATTCTTAGATTTTGTATGTACTAGAACTAGAAATTAAAGAGCTGTTCTATGCCATGCACAAACAGATGTTCATGACTTCCATTTGTTTTTTCTCAATATGCTAATCAATGCTTTTCCACTTTCTTCTCTATGTAAAGATCTGTGGTAAGAATACCAAGTGGATTATGCTTCTGTCCTAAAGTTCACTGAATTACTTGTACTAGAGATATTTGTACCATGTACTGTACTCATTTATGTGCATGTTCTACTTTCCAGGTCAATCGATGCATCAGAAGCCCTTCAGGTGCCCGGAGCGGTTGATGTAGTGACAGCAAGGGATGTTCCAGGGGAAAATGGCAAGGATGAGCAAGCATATGCAGAAGATAAGGTATTTCTTGCTTCTGGAGGAGTGACTGGACCTTTTGCTCCAGTTATTTACAAAAAAAGGAAAGTGAGTTTGCAAGCATCATCTTGCTGCAATGAAATGAAAATAAGTGCAAGAACTGTTAATACAGTGCCAGGCAGGCTGGGCTAAACAGAATTACCATTCCCCAGTGAGAGAGAAAGGAAAAGCTCCCTTAAATAACTTGGGATTTAAATGAATGAGCCATGATTTCTCAAGGGCTGATAAATGAGTGATTGTCATGGGTTCTGAGAAAGTATGAAATAGCCATGGCATTTGAGATTTTCAAAGATGAGACAAATGAAATGAGAATTTCCCAGTTGGAACCAATATGAAATTAATGGCCAGATTATACACTAGAATATGGTAATGGGAGACAAAACTTTTGTTGAGCATCAACAGAGCTAAGAAATGTATAGGATCCATGCAGTCAGCATGACTGTACAGAATGTCCCAGGCCTCAGGCTCTATCCGTCACAAGTGACACTGTTGCATGGTATTTGCAGTGGGGCAGGAATAATTGCTAATGTGTTGCTCTTACCTCCCTATTCCTTCTTGTCTGAGTTTCCTTCGTTTCTGAGTACAGACAAGGAAAGTGGTCTGTGCCAGATAGGATTTTACTTGGCACAGTATCTGGCCACTTCAGGATGAACACAGGGTGAATGTTCATGACTACCGACTGACGTCAGCAGCATTTCTGAGGACAGAAATGTTGCAGCAGATGCAAGACGCTAATACACTTCTCATCTAATGAAGGTGAGTCTGCACTGACATAGTATTCTTAGAGAAACAGAATATAAAAGTGGCATTTGAGCAGAATCTATTTCCACAAAACACTCTTTGTACAGGAACTTAACCACACCTGTGTTTTTTCCTTGGGTAATACATTGCTGTGTTGCAGGTGGTTTGTGTTGGTCAGATAATCTGTGCTGTGGTTGCAGAGTCACTGACTCAGGCGAAGTGTGGGGCTGAAAAGGTGAAGATAGTGTATGAAGATCTGGAGCCAATTCTGACCATTGAGGTAACAATCTGTCTCCTCTTCAACGTCTGATAGAGCTCTTAAGTCACCTCACTCACTATTTACCTCCTTGTGCAGAGCTCTGCCAAGCTTTGGATATTTTTTTTTTTTTTTTTTGGTATGAGATATGACTTTACTGGTTCTGAAGATGAAGTGTAAAAAGTTTATAAATGGCCTCCAAAGTTTTGTTTTTAGAAACACACAAAAAAATCTTATTAGCTATCTATTCATCCAGTATATTTGTAGATCTAGGATGAAATTGCTAAAGAATATTTAGAAAGTTTTAAGTAAGCAACTCCATGCCTCCAGGAGCCAAATTCCAGGCAGTAGTAGGTCAGTATAGAATTAAATTTCAGAGCTCATGTTTGCAGAAGTTCTGGAATCACACATCCTGCATCCATGTTCTGAAAATTTTCAAGTCTGGCAGGTTTTCAGTAGCAAGCAATCTGATTCTGAAATATTTTCAACAGCTCTGAATTCTATTAATAGACATTTAGTGTTTCTAATCTGGGGGAAGAAGGGAATGATATGAAATACAAAAACCAAAAAAACCCAGAAGCTCTCTGATGGTGGAACAAATATCCTGCTCTTTCTAATACTTAGCTACAACCATCTGTCCATCTGAAAAAGGATCATATGGATGATGAAAGATACTGAGAAAGGATTCAAGTCTGCTGATGAAATCATAGAAGGTAGTTCATACATGCAGTGCATCAGGCAAGGGAGGAGACTTATGCTAGTTCAGAATCTATTTCCAGCTGGTGGCTGAATTTAAATTTCTATTCTCTTCTCAAAAAAACTTACTCTGTTCATTTTTTTCCCCTTCACTGGGAATGAAGATGAAATGAAGCTTCACATTTAAATGGAGCTTATGTAACACCTGCTAGCTCATGGTTCTAAGACCATTTCCTTGTCTTAGAACTTGGCTAACTAAAATGAAGTTCCTTAATCCTAGGACAAACATTACAGCTAAATAAGGCTTTGTTTATGGGTGTTAGTTAACTTAACTTGCCCTGTTTTAAGCTGACTGCTTGATTTAGGTCTAATCCCAGAAACAAGGGGATCAGAGTAAACTGGTCTGGAATACCACTCCTACTGTCACAAAATTCACTGTCTTCAAGTAGTAAACATGATCCAGTAGTCCCAGAGCATACTCTGTGCATAAGTATCAGACCTGTGTTTAAGAAGTACCAATGAAGAATATTCCACAAGCTCCTATTGTAGTTAGTTCTAGAGTTTAACTGTCCTTATAATTAGAATGTTTTTTTTTTCTAATACCTAATCTAAATCTCCCTTCCTGCAAACTTTAAAGGTTCACCCTCTAAACAGAGTCCTCTCATCTTTTCCCCATAAGTCATGTCTGCTAACTGTTTTCATTGTCACTGCTCACTTCTCCATTATCTCTAATTTCACTACATCCAACTTCACTATGGTAATATTTCAGATTAGGTTTCACCAATGCCAAGTGGAGTCTCCCAGAAATTCTATATAACGTTAGTGTCACTGAATGAGATTAGGGTTGTTGTGGTGTTATCAATTGTGGATATACAGTCAAGTTGTGCTCCTCAGTAATCCCTGTTTAGATCTTGTTCAACAGTGCTATCTAAAGTACTGGCACTTACCCATACTGAACTTCATGCCATTGACTTTAGGCCATTTCTGCAATGTAAAAAAATCACTTTCAAATCTGAACCTGTCCTTTAATGGGCTTGCAGGCCTTTCCAGTTTGATATTATTTGTAGCTCACTCATTAGTTACTAAAGCAACCATGTGGTAACATTACACACACAAAAGACTCTTCTATTATTCTACATGCATCATCTTTGCAGCTTGACAGCCAATCCTGTAAACTGCTTTCTAAGGGCAGTTTTCAACCAATGGTATCCCTGATTTTATCTGGATTGTAGTTCTCAACTTGCTTATAAGAGTAGTCTGTGGGACAGTGTAAAAAGACTTAGTAAAATTAAGGTTTATGATACCAAGATATGCTTCTCTTAACACTGGTTTGGCCAGTTTTAATACTTCCCCTAATTCTGTGTTTCTAACACTTGAATGCAGCTCTGACATTTGTTAGTGAGCACCTTATAAATGCTTAGACAACTCATGTGTCCTGCTCATGTGTTTTTCTGATTGTCCTCTCATGACATATATTATCACACCTACCCTTCTGCTGTTACCACAGATTTCTGCAGCTGAGTTTTCCTCTGCACTGAATACTAACTACACATGAATTAGTTATTTAGAATAGATTTAGAATCTTAGAATTAGAATACCTGCTCGATCACAGGAGGGAATGTAGCAGACCATCAGCCCCTTTTCATTTCTCTGACATCAATTCTACCTGTATCATGTTTGAAAGAAGGATCACATTTATCCAAGTTGTTTTTAGAGACCTCCAAGCATGAAGACTCTGCAGTCTCCCCAGGCAATTTTTTCCAGTGCTTCATCATTCCTATCATTAGAAGGATTATCCTCATTGCCAACAATTTGCTGCAATGTAAGCACTGTTGTGCTTCTTGTTCTTTCTACTGTGAGCATATAGCACAGACTATTCTCTTCCTCTTTGCAGCAGCCTTCCATGGATTTGAAGATTCATGTCTTCTTTCACTTTTTTGGGCTGAGCCCCCTCAATTCTGTCAATCTTCTCTATATAGGTTCATGACCTCTGATGGGTTTTTTTCTGCTCTCCTTTGGACTTTTTCCAACTGTTCCCCATCAAATGTCATGTCACCCTCTAGTGGCTTCAGTTCTGATTCTTACTACTTAGGCATGAATGTGTGTTTCAGGAATAACTGCTAGGGAAATATTGTCACACCCAAGGATGGCATAAAGTTAAGATTACATAGAGAATTCACAGAATTAGCTTTTAAGCTATGCTGTGCTGACAGATTTCCCTCTCTCTAAGGAAAATGGCACAAAAGTAAAGTGTTGGGTAGAAATGGGTAGAAAAAGTGTAATACAAGAAGGGCATACTGATGGAAAGAGGATAAGAAGGGAAGAGGAAAGCTGCATTTTCCCTCAGGGTGATTCAGGAGAAGGTATTATAATCCTGTTACAGCAGAGAAGATGTAACCTCCTAAAGAAGAAAAAGCATGATATATTAAATTGATACTGATCTTATCCTGGAAAAGGAAAAAAAAAGCTATACAAGGATTAGGTGATTGAATAATTTCCTCTTAAACACAGGTCCCAGAAGGTATAAACCTGAGATACAAAGAAATAAAAAATAAACGAAACTATTTTTCTTCTGTGACAAAACTCTTTTTCCCTGCCACATATACATATATATGTATACATAGGCAAATATAAATTTCCTCACAGTTAAATTGAAACCCAGCTTAGATTTTCCTATAATTATGTATGTAACAGGTGAATTGCACATGGGAGGACAGGAACATTTTTACCTGGAAACAAATAGTGTGCTTGTTATTCCAGGAGTGGAGGATAAAGAAATGGACGTGTATGTGTCAACTCAGCATGCAACAGATGTACAGGTAAAACAAAGTATTAATGATACTTGTTTCTTACCTTCCTAAATAATCTTAAAGCTGAGCTACATGGCCAGGAGCTGCTTTCAGTCTTCCGTGCTTCTCTTGAAAATCCCTAATGGTGTTCCCAATTCAGATTAATTGATTTGAATCTTTTTATGAAAATAAGTGGCCTGACTACTAATGATGAAGCTGAAGGTAACAGTAGGTCTTGTGGTCTTTGTATTATCCAGTGCAGTGCAGACACAAATGAGCAGTATTACTATGGAATGAACAAACGGTACCTTGGATAGATAATATGCCTGTAATCATGTTGTTGAGAAAAGACTAATTCTGTCTTAGATATATTGGCCAAATCCTCCTAAAATCAGTGAGAATCCTCAGTACAATCCTGGACAATTACTTTTTTGCAGCAGTGAGTGTCTCCAGCTTTAGAAAGAGTATTCAGACAAGATGGGGTTATAATCATGTGTAAATAATGATAAATGAATATGCAAATAATAACAACATACAAATCACATGAAATTATGTGAAAAAAAGGTTAACAGGTCCTAGCTAACATTAGAATTGGATTGTAGGCCTGTAGAAAACAACAGTTCCAAAGAATATATGTTAATTTCTACATGTTTAGGATTAGCTTTTGCAGTTCATCACTGGCTTGCATTTTTTAAGCTTTCCCTGTCAGCCCAACAAGTTAAACATCTACTAGCATCTCTGGAAGCACTGTCAGAGGAGATATTTTCAGAATGCAATGGTTTGTCAGTATTTTAGCTACACTGTCTAGTGTGCTGTAAACAATCACTCTGTTCCATTCAACTTGATATTTTAGTGGATGCTTTATCTCCAGCCACAGGTGAAACTTGCAGTTCTATATAGAGATTATAATATCTGCAATCAGATAATCAAACTAGTTTATGGAGGTATTTTTACATTTCCACTATTCTTTAAAGACTAGATTGTGCTTTCATTGGCATCTTTACTTGTTTGAAATCTTTTGTTTGTTTGTTTCTATAGCAACTCTAGTTTTCTGCCCAGGATTCTTAAACCTGTTAGCTTTTAATATATGGTTAGCCATGAAAATAGGTATTTTTTAATGTACTTTGGTAGGTAACAATTCTCAGTAAAATGCTGGATGTTCACTTTTGCAGGAATTTGTGGCTTCAGCTTTAAACCTCCAGTACAATAAAATTATGTGCCACATGAAACGTGTTGGTGGAGCATTTGGTGGGAAGATTACTAAACCTTTACTCTTTGCTGTAATTGCAGCAGTGGCAGCCAACAAGTAAGTTAATTGAACTAAATCAAATGAGTGGTTTAACTAAAACAAATTAGATGACAAGACTGAATGAAAAAGGAACTCCAGTCCTGAACCCTTCTTGGGGTGTTATCTTGACAACATCATCTTTTTTACCAATTTGGCAGTAAATCTTGGGTAGAGGCTTGAAAATTCTCTGGGCTTTTGGCAATGGTATTCACTTACTATCTGAGCGCCAAAAAAAAGGCATGGAGGCAGTTTCTCTCAGGGATGATCTGTACAAATCCCAACCATTCAGGCCTTTCCTAGGCACCCTGGCTTGAATTTCCCTCTAGATATTCAGTGAAAGTGGTTCTTATCCTAATACCTAGGTGTGCTCACATCAGCCCTTTGTGCCACAGCTCTCCTTTACTCTGGTTTCCTTGCCTTGTCCTGTGCATGATTCATGGAACTTGCATCTCCCTGTTGAGAAGCTAAAGGGAAACCACTGAAAAACTCATTTCCTCTACTTTGTTTCTGTAGGGGGGGGGGGGGGGAAATCTGCTGAATTAGCCTAAACTAAGGTATGGTAGTTTAATAAGGTTAATAAGAAACTAAAACATAAAATGGACTGATTCATTGCCACCACTAGGAGTTTGGCCACGTACATGTAATGTCATTTGCAATCTGCATGAATAGGCTGTAATAAAAGTGGGGGTTTTAATGTTCATTTTAGGACTGGGCATCCAGTCTGTTTTGCCCTTGAAAGAAATATGGATATGTTAATCACTGGTAGATGGCACCGTTTTTTTGGAAAATATAAAGCGAGTGAGAGGAGAAGATACTTTGCTCCATTACTGGGTATAGTTTCTTCTGGGGCAAATAGCATAATTCCATTGACTTAAAAGATGCAGCAAGAAACCGAACTCCTCCTCTTCTGAAATCCTAACCCAGCACCAACCTTGCCCCAGTCCTAAGAGTACCCTGACAAATGCTGTGAATCAAAACAACAGCAATCATCCTATTTCTACAGCCCATGCAATATCCAGAAAAAGCAGAACCATCCATCCCTTTTCTTACTCCAAAATACTGCTAATGTCAGCCCTGCCCCGTCCTCAGCTGACAAGTACGTAAATCAGAATTGAATATGAGCCACTTCTCAGATACAAAGCCAGCCCTACAAGGTAATGCAAGATTCAGCTGGTAGCAAAACTCTTCCTTTTGACTTCTAAATCCTTACATTAAAAATAACTAGGTAAACAATGCCAGTACTGAAGTCAGCTTGGCAACTGGTTGTAGCAGGGGCAAACCCCTTCTCTTTGGTGTTGGTCTATGATTTGAGCACACTAAAACCCTCCAGGAGGGGTTTATGGTTCAATATGGTTTGGATAAAGAAAGGATGAGGAGTTGGTTTTCTTATTGACTCTTGCATGAGCTGTAGAGTTTGGCTGACAACAGTTTCTGGGAGGCTGACAACTGTTTCTGGGAGAGACTGGTTATATTTTTCATTTTGCTGAAGATAGTGCTCACAAAGATGCTGTTCAATTCTGGTTATGATTAGACTAGATTTAGAACTGGTTTGGGAAAAGAAAGGAGGCAAGTTTTGTTTTTGGTTAAATCCTGTATTGGCCATAAGACAAAGAATGTGATTGTGAGTGACAGATGTCAATAACATATGTATTTCATATTCTTCTGGGTATCCATTACCTGATTATGGTTGAATCTAGGATAAAATATCTTGTTAAGGGCAGGATTGTGGTTTGGGGAAAAGTGGTTAAGCAGTTGGTTTATTAACGAGCCTTGCATGGACTTCAGGAACTAAGATGAGGACTAGCTTAGTGAAGAGCTGCTGAAGCATATATAGGTCATCTATATATATTTGATGCTAGGAATAGTGTTAGGAATGTGGCTACAGAAAAAAAAGGAAGGAGAATTTTGGTCTATTTTTCAGTCCTGCAGAGGTCACAGGTCTCAGTAATTGCATGTACTGCATATGTGTATATCCATCACCCAAAACTTCCAGGCCAGGATATTTCATATAGCTGTTACCTGACACATTTGAAGATAGGCCTAATATCATCAGTTTTGTCCTCAGTCTGAGGTGATGGTGATGTTTTAAGTGATGAACAGTTTATTTTAATTTCTATTTATTAACAGGTTATTGGCAGATATTGGTAACAGTGGCATTATTAATATTAGGATTTAGGTTGCAGATACAGGTAGAAATAAGGAAAAGAAGGAATGGAAGGTGAGTCTTGCTGAATCATCTAAGAACTTCAATGAACTGATAAGACTTGCTTTTAGAAAAGGAAAAGGCTTATATTTTGTTTTCATGCAGCTACTTATTACTTGGATATCACTGATGGTAGTGTTAGGGTTAAAGTTAGAAACAAAGTGAAGAAAACAAGGGCTGAGATGTTTGGGTTTTCCCTGAGCTATTCCATAAGTACCTGGGAAGGGTGAAAAGAACAAAGGGAAGTCTTCTGTTTAATTTTGATGAAGACACTGGCAATATTTTCAGGCACTATTAGCATTACAATAAAGTTTAGGAAAAAGAATAAATTTGAATCTTGGTTCTTTCTTGAGTCTTACACGGGTACCAGAGGTAGGATGAGGGCTGCAGTTGATAGATGTTCCTGGCGTGTTTAGTTTTGCTGAAGGAATAAAGTGCCACAGTATTTCTAAGGTCCAGATTAGGGTCAGGGTTTGAATAAAAAGTGTGATTTCTTTGGCTGGTTGGTTGGTTTTTTACTTGCATGGGTTCCTGAAGTGCTATGAAAGCTATCTTGGAAAAGCAGCATTTAGCTTATGTTTCATTTTGGTTCACTCTTCTTTTAACTGAAAATCCCCATTATAGGTTTAGATTTGCATTAGGGAACCCATCTATGTCCCTAGGAAAATGAAAGCAAGAGGACTTTGTCTTCTTTCTACATTTTACATGGACCTTGAAGCTATGGTAAGGACTGGGTTGTCCCTTATACTTGACATATGTTTCAAACCTTTGATTCATATATCACTTATCAAGAATTGCTTAGGCGAAGCTTAGGGTTAGAGGTATGTTAAAGAAAACAAGCAAAGATGAGTTTGCTGAGTCATATATAAACAATAGCATTAAGATTTTCCAATGGAAGGTCTAGCATTTTTTTTAAATTTTACACACATACTGGTTACCTGAGGATTCTAGAAGCCAGGCCAAAATTAAGGTTACTGTTTTTGAGAGGAAATATTCTGGAGTTTGATTTTCTAAGTTACATTAGCATCTGAGCTTGGAGGAGAATAGGTATTGGAAAGGAGGCATGCCTTATGTTTAGTTTGGGGGCAGATACTGTTTATCAGAGTATTTTAAAAGTTAGCGTTAGGGTATTGGCCGGAGGGGGGGAAATGTGGAGTTTTATTTTTTACAGTCTTTCATGAGCTCCTGAGCTACAAGAAGTATTTACGTTGAATGGGATGTATGCTTTATGTATCATTCTGGAGCACACAATTTTTACTCAAGAGTTATTAAGGCTATTTTTATAATGTGAGGGTTGGGACTCACAAAGGAACTGATGAAGAGTGTTACTTATAAAATACTGTATAAGCCCTAAGCTTTGTTGGGTGGTATTGAGAGGGGCTTATGGCTCATGGTTTGTTTCAGTGGAGATGCCTCTTAACAACAGATCTCTGAGACTATGGCTACTGCTAGGGAAGGTAAAAATAGATGTCAAGATTTTGTTTTCTTGCTGAATTGTCTATGAGTCCTAAAGTTACTGATAGTGGCAAAAGTTCCTGTTTCCTTTGGTTTCAGCTATTGGTTATCTGAGTGTCTTATGACGAGTGTTAGAAGTAGAGTAGGCCTGGAGGAAAGAAAGAAAGGAGAGTTTATTTTCCTGCTGTCCAATCTTACATGGAGCTAAATATTAAGGTATGGATTTAAAGCAGGAGAAACAATTAATCGTATTAATTCTGGTGCTGTTATTCATTAATTAGCTATCTTGAAGCTAGGATAGAGATTGTGAATTATGACTAAGGTCATGCTTTTGGAGAAAAAAAGAAGGAGGAATTATCCTTCTCAGTGAATTTTCAATAAGCCCCCATAGACTTATGGTTCATATTTTGTTTTGATGTAATTACAACTTCCCATTTTTCCCTAAAGTTTGGATAATGATTAAAATTTTAAAGGAGAAGGAATGTTGATTGTGATCTCTCAAATCCTAAATCTAACCCCAACCCTAAATTTTTCTTTACTTAAAAAGCAATAATTGCAAAAACTGCATTATTTGCTTAACTACATTAAGCAAAAACCACTCTGCCCATCAGTCCCATCTCTTATCCTATCCATGCAGTTATGCAGGATTTAGCCAGCAATAGTATTCATCATCTCTTATTTCCTTATCCTTAGTCCTGATGGAGCTCCATCAGTTTGCATCATTTAACAAGTTGGTCTTCAGTTATTTTACAGTTTTCTATGATTGATCCCCTTTAAATATTATTATATAAACTGTTAAAAATATAAAACCATATATAACCTTTTTTTAAAAAAAGTTGAAGAGGAAGGAACCAGAACTAGAATTGAATGAAATTTGGTGGATATTTCTGAACATGTAATCTGCAAAATACATGCTCCATTGGTTCATGTTGTTATGTTGATGATGTTATGTTAGGTGATGAAATCATCAGGATGAAAGATCATGACAAAAGGAATACTTCAGAAAATAGAATAACCATAATCAGAGTTAATGTTTTCTTTAGTGATCCTGTCATCCTTTTTCTGGTCTCTGTTCATACAGAAAACAGTGGTGAACAAACTTTTCAGATTCTGTGTGAGTATAGTCAATGTCTACGTGGGAGAATAGCTTTGTGGGCAGCTGAGATATTCTGAAGATTTGTGGGGTTTATATATATGTTTTGCTCTTAGTTTGTGTATTCAGATCCAAACTGATATCATCCTATAGACAGAAATCCATGCAGGTAATTTTTCCAATTCAGTGGAATAAATCCTATTGTCTTCTGTAGTCTGAACCTCAGGTGGTATTTGCTAACTGGTTAGCTTATTTATAAAAAGATGTTGGAAATACATGAGGGAAAAGACTGCTAATGCATCGGTTACTATATTACAGGTTGGATTCATGAATGATGGTAGAATCAGAGCTGCAGATTTTCAGTGCTATATAAATGGTGGCTGTACAAAAGATGAATCTGAGTCGGTAAGTCCTTCACTGATACCACTCATGCTGACTGAACTGGTCACAAGAAGAAAATAATGGCTCTTTGCCACAATTTATTTCTCTTAAGAATATGTCTATTCTTGTTAAGTACAACTCTCATCTGCCCAAAGTAAAACTGCATCTGTGGCCCAGGTGTTGATTACAGATTATCATTAAGTAGGTACAATATTTCCTGACAGGTCATATTGGACATAGAAAATTCATATTTAAAAGTTCAGTGAACACAGAGAGACAGTGAGTTTTATTAGGTAGCCTATTATCATGAAGTTATTCTTTCACTTTCCCAAAACTGAAGGTCTGATTTTTCCCTCAGTAATGCTTCTTTATGCTATTGTAATTCCTATGAGTTAAATGCAGTTTCTCTGATTTAAACACAGTTTCTTTACTTACATTGGTGTAAAAAACAGCAGAAGAACAGGCCTTCTGAGTATAGTTCTACTCCTCCTTAAAACAATTACATCTCATTGGTCTCTTGAGTCTTTCACATGTTTCACTATCTTTTTAAAAGAAATTCAACCATTTGAACAACTATAATCTCTTACCGTAGGTGATTGAGTACCCTGTGTTGAAAGTGGACAATGCATATAATATCCTCAATCTCCGAGTCAGGGGCCATGCCTGCAAGACTAATTTGCCTTCTAATACTGCCTTCCGAGGATTTGAGTTTCCTCAAGCAGGTCTGTTTGTGGAGACCTGTATTGTGGCTGTGGCAACCCAAACTGGCCTACCACATGAGAAGGTAAAAGAACTAAGACTGCCAAATAAAACATGGGATAACAGAGAGTTCTAGGACCTAGACTGTCAGAAGCTCCTTGTGCTTAAGCCAGCTCTTGTAGAACCAGATCTACCAACTTTACTTGGCCTGAATGGTACTTTATTCAGCACCTATGTTTCCATGGAAAAATACTTGATATAATACAGATAAGAGTGGAGAAAACTGGCCCAGGATCTGTTGCAAAATGTTTGATGACTGCCATTAGTATGACCAGCTTCAGTCAAAACAGTATTATCTCTTGTACTGTGTGACCAGTTTTAGATCGCTTTGTGTATGTTCAGCTGTCACCTGCACCTCAGCCTCTCAGAACTGGACTTTCCATCTTTTCTATCCATCCATCTATCAACAGTTTAGTTAGCTGGCTCCTGTCATCCCAATTACCAGGTTGACACTTCCGGCTTTTTCCCAGCCTTCAGAGACAGTGTCCCAACAGTTTTAGTTGTTGCCATTTCCTCTCTAATATTCAAGATCTATCCTTTCCTTACACACTGCTTAGTCCAGTGTAAGCTCTTCCTCTTTTGTATGTGCCAACCTCTTATACATTCAAACTATGGTTTATAAACCATTTTACTCTCCTAGGATGCCAACCATCATGTCTTTCCCCTATTTCTTTGAATCTTCTCCCTCTACCATTTACTTACTGTCCTTTACCACATTTCAAGAAGCTTTCAGAGACATCTCCAAAGGACAAACAGGTTTTTTAGTTTTAACTTCTGCTTGCACTAGTCTCATTTACAGTTTGAGTTTTCCAACCTTCTTTGCATTGAGTAGTCCTTGTGAACAATCCCACTGACACCACTTAAGCTCAGAGGCATTTGATGTGCAAAAAAATCAGGCTATTTGTGTAGTGATTTCCTTAGAGAAAGGGTTGTGACATTATGTTTAATATAGATAAGTATTAATTATATCATTATATGACATCTCATTATATTATATATAATATGTCAATATATTACAAGTCGATATCTATTTTCAGCACTGTGTAAACTTGCTTGCTGTTTAGGTTAGGGAAATAAACATGTACAAAGGAGTTAACCTAACGTCCTTCAAAGAAAAGTTTGATGCAGAGAATCTGTGGAAATGTTGGGAAGAATGTTTGGATAAGTCTGACTACTACAGCCAAAAAGCAATGGTGAAAGAATTTAACACAAAAAATTATTGGAAAAAGAAAGGGATTGCCATCATTCCCATGAAGTTTTCTGTTGGATTTAATGCAACTTATTTTCATCAGGTAACGTCTTCAAAACAGTGCTTTTGCGATCTTATATCTCTACTTTTTTTCTCCAAAAATAGAGGAAGTATAATCTGTGCAGATAGGAAGGAAAGAGAAAAAGAACTCCAACATGCTGGACTAGCATAAAATATCATCCATGGAGATATACATTGTTTCAGAAAGAATATCACTCTATCTGGCCAATTTCTTTATAAATGCTTACTCAGTATGAGATGGGGCTTTGAGCAACCTGGTTAGTGAAAGATGTCCCTGGCCATGGCAGGGGGGGTTGAACTAAACAATCTTCCCTTGGCTGAACTAGATCATCTTCCTTTGGCTTGAAGGTCCCTTCTAACCCAAACCGTTCTATGATTCTATGGGTATTCACCTCACAGAAACATAAATTTCTGATTCCCAACATGCTATCTGTATGCAGCAAAAAGCTAAATAATTCACTGTAAAAATGTCGTACTTGGAACCTTGCATAATCTGGTCCATAGTATGAAAAATTATTACTCCTATAGTTCAGGTACTACCATTTCTATGATAGGTTAAGCTCTGCTACTAGAATTTTTTATGGCTCAGGATAGTGTTATTTCTGGGGAAATTTTCTGGTTCTGATTATTTTTATTTTCTTTTAATTCATGCCTTGAACCAAAAATTCTTTCAAGTGAGTTTCAGGTTAAATGAACAAACATTGTTATTTGTTTATGAGGGTACAATGCATGAAAAACTAAATCCACATGGTTCATATCTTGGTTGTTTATTCCATTTCTTGATTGTTTCTGCACAAATTTGTAGATTAAGAGCTCAGAGAGAGATTAATATATTTCATCCAACAACGTTCTCATGGTAAAGAAACATTGAATCTAAGGATCACAATTCATCTGATACAAAAGGTCAAAAAAAAGCATAAATAATAGTTATATTTCACCAAAACCTTCAAAATAAAGCTCAGGCATTGCATTGAATTTCCAAAAATCTAGATCTAACTCTAGAGAATAGATTTATTGTTCAATCTTGTCTCTGTCAGCTAAGACTCTAACTGACATCAGCAAAATGTTACCTGATTGCAAACATCACAAGTTGGCACCAAAGAGATCACATGACCATTATTTCTCAATGTAGAATTAATAACAAATAAAAAGATGTCCTGGAGGCACTGTATTTCACAACAGCTCTCAGGCTCTACTGTTTACTCTCTGAGTGTTGGTAGCTGATTGCATGCAACAGCAAAATGTCTCTTTACAGAATTTGTAGTTCTCTTTCATATCCACTTTTCCTCCACAGGATTATATGGCTTGTATGAGATGGATTTCTTTCATCACCATTCCCTGGGAAGTTATTTGTTCCTGATTTTACCATGAATGAAAGTTCATTACTTCCATTCCCACCTGCATCTCGCATTTCCCCTGTTTAAAATAGCTATTTATCGGCACAAGGCTGCACCAAAATACGAACAGAAAGTGAATCACATTCTAAACCATTCTCTTGACAGCCTATGAGAGAGAATGGAAGAGCAGTTTTCCCATTGCTCCATCAAAATTATATACTATGAACAGTTAATTATTACCCTGTATGGATACACGCAAACAAAAAGGGCTAGGACTAATCCCTCAGTTTCAGAAAAACAAAAGTACAACTCTGCTATTGTTTTTCTAAAAGAGAAGTTCTATAGATGTTCATAGTAGGTGATACCTTGCCATCTGTCCAAAATGCCTTTGATTCCAGGTTCAAATTCCACTCTGTCCTCCTTTTTATTGTGGCTGAGGAGGGAACAGCATCTGGGGCTACACATACATTATAACTAGAACGAGCATCTTCTTGATTCACCCAATTTCACAAGAAGAAAAATATGCTTTTCTGTTATTTGAACTAATTACTGTGATCCCTGCAGAACTCCTTTGAATAACTACTAGCTTATTTAGAGTATATCCTGCCTTAGAGCAGTGACATTTGTTATTGTCAGACTGCTGGAGAATTTCCACTCTCTTTTAATAATATACTGCCTCTTGTGAATTAAATCTGTCTTTGCCTTGTTCTTTTCCTTATGCACCTTTGTTCAGTGAAGTAAGAAAATTACCAAGTTTCTGTGGCTTTTCTTTAAGCTGGAGCTCTCGTCCATATCTATATAGATGGGTCAGTGCTAGTCACTCATGGTGGAATTGAACTGGGACAAGGAATTCACACTAAGATGTCACAGCTGAGTTAGTTAGCATCTGAGGGTAAACAAAATATAAGAAAGATAACTAAGCCAAAAGGATGAATGGCACTAAGAAGCACAATAAGCAAATTCTGTAGACATAAGAAAGATAAATTTAATACTGGGTTGTTACTTCTGAGTTACTGATGAAGACAAAACTTAGGAAAAATGCAAGCTATAATCAAAGTGATCTTTCGAGACCTGGAAAGGAGATGAACATCTTTGTGGTAACATCACTATTATCAGGATAGCAAAGGCACAGAAAGCACATGCAAAAATGACCCAACCTTTTTTTGCAGAGGGAGTTAAAGTGCTGAAAATTTAACTTTGTAATTTATCGAACATAATGATAACATCAGTTAATTTTTATGCATTTCTGATGTAAATAGTGATAAACAAAACTATGTGCTAAACAGGTCATTTTGGAGCTAAAATGAAGCCACTCCTTCAAAATGAGCTGAATGAATATCTGAATATTAGAACACTGTAAAAAACAGTAAAGTGGGAACACAAACTAACCAAGCCATTTCAAATGAGATGATAGAAAATAAAACATGTGAATAAGATTTGAAACTCCATGAGGGAGAATGATTCATTGTTTTTTAAATTTGATTAAGTTTTCCATATGCAACAAAAACCTGATTAGAGAGCAATTAATTAGAGGCAAAACATATAGTATTGCACTGTATTGTTTTATCTTATCTTCTGTTACCTGAATTTATTTATAAAATACTTGTTTTACAGAATAATTGTTAAGGAAGACTTCTGTGTTTGTCCTAGTCATGGTATTACTGTTGAATTAGGTAATTTCTTTGTGTGTGTATATAGAGAAAAAGATGAATGGCATGATGAATTCCTGCCTTGAGATTGCATCTTCAAGTGGGACTGGATATCTTTTTGTTTACTTTTATTACAGATTGCTAGTCGTGAACTGAAGATACCATTGTCATATATACACTTGTGTGAAACAAGCACAACTGTACCTAGTGGCAAATACACAGCAGGTTCAATTGGAGCAGAAATCAATGCAAGAGCAGTCCAGGTTAGACTTATTACCATTTTTCCACATAATTGGTGGTTCTGATGAATACTGAGCGTCCCTCTGAGGATTCATCATTTTGTTTTGGTTTTGAGCAGCTTGCAGTTCTTTTATCTCAAAATCTCTCTTGCTAGTTTATTTTACATGTATAGTTTAAATCAATGCAAATTACAGAACACCGTTTAAAAGGGCTGCTTTTTTCTGCTTTACTGTATCAGATTTTTGAATGTGGGGTTTATTTTTTTTTAGATTGCCACTAGATGAATTTATGGATCTTCACTTTATTCTGTATTTAAACACAGTTTAAAGGAGAATTTAGCATAAGGTATTTTTCAGGTACTTTTTTTAATAATCAGACTGAAACACCCTTACCACTTAAATGCTTTGGGACCAATTCTGCTGTCATTTATTTTGTAATAAATCATTCAAGCCAGTGATTTTCTATCTAGTAAATCAAAATAGGAGGAGTCAGGTCCTTTATCTTCTTTTTGTTGATGGTTTCAGTGATAGCCTGGTATGTGAATACTTCAGTTACGTTAGAGCAGATGCCAACACCACTCTTCACAAAGTGCTGCTTCCTAGCTGGCAGTTAGCAGAGTAAAGAAATTGTAGGTACATGAACAGAGTTACGGCCCTTAGAATGAATTTAACAAACTGACTTCACTAAGGAAGAGCTTGTATTGCTTTGAAAACAGCAGATAGATTTGAGTTTGTGGATTGGTCGATGGTGCCCAACCTTCTTCCTCCCTAGGATGCTTGTCAAATCCTTTGGAAGCATCTGGACCCTATACAAAGAGACAATCCTAACGGCAAATGGGAAGACTGGGTAAATCTCTCTGTTTCTTACTATTAAATGATGATAAACCCACAAATGTGCAGTGAAAGCTGCCATTGTTCTGGAGGGAGAAAGGGGCCTCCCTGCATGAAGTAAACTGAAGGTGAGGAAGAGAATAAACAGTGTAAAAGCAAGTGGTGCAACACAATGTCCTGGCAAGTCTGGCCAACTTTAGAGATCTTGCAATGACCCCCTTCCTAAAGATATGTCCAGGGCACAAGGGAATGTGAAGCTTTTACTTAGGGCTCTTTTTTCTTCGAAATGTTTTTTTAAAGTTTCAATTTTTCTTTAAATATGAGGTAAAGAATTTTTAATTTTCTCTTTTTAATAATGAGTATACATTTTGCAGATCAGTGAAGCTCACAAGCAAAGCACCAGTCTTTCAGCTACTGGCTATTTCAAGTAAGGAAAGCTATTAGACTTTTTAAATTTCTCATCATCAGAGGTGCTACTTGGTCAGTAAGTTGCAGGAAGGATAAAACTGTCCCCATTCAGCCTTCTCAAGGCCATATCAGATGCAGCACACAAATCATTAAGAAGTTGCCTGGACTGGAGACTACAGTGTTTAACAAAAGGAATTCTCTTCAATCCATACTGATTTCAGAAGCACTTTATAGCCTTGGTTAGCTAGTTTGACAGTTGATGCACAGAGTCTTCTCCAAGGTCAATTACTGTAGGACATAGGAGGCCCACAAGGAATTTTGTTCCACGGCCATCATCATTTGCAGCCCTCCTATCCTCCCAAATTATTCCACACAACATATATTTATCAATGGTGCTACATCCTAGATTGTCTTTGACTACAGAGATCCTATGAAAATAGTTAGCTTAGAGAGTTTGTGATATATCATGTTATATGGTTCCTGTAGTAGTCTCAACAGTGAGAACAATGGTAGGGGGTGGGGGATATCTTGGTCAAATTCATCTAATCTGAGGGACGTTCTTACTTCCTCCAGAGGTTATGTTACAAACATGAACCGGGACACAGAGAAAGGCCATGTGTTCCCATATTTTCTCTTTGGAGTTTCATGTTCTGAAGTAGAAATTGACTGATTGACAGGACCCCACAAGGTAATGTCAAAAAATACAGTGAACTTGGAGTAGAGTTGGGTGAATTTCCCACCATCATTACATTCATATGACATTTTTTTCTTTTGCTTTTTTTGACTAAGATTAGAGACATAGTCTGTTGGATGTACTCAACAAAACACCAGTAGAACAATAAATGGCTATAGTCCCCTTAACAATATAATTTGTTCATCCTGTTCTTGTGATAGAAGTCTGATGTTAACCAGAAGAATAAGAAACACTGTGAGAACAGCAGAAAATAAAGAAAGTATAATGTTTCTATCATATATGATGACTTTGAAATTCAATTAGACCTTCTGAACATCTCCCTACAGGTTAGATCTTCAACAACAAGATCATATCATTAGTTACAGTCCTCTTTTTAACAGGGTTATGTTTAAAACAGGTGAAGCCACAGTCATATAACATGACCTGTTGCAAAGGGGATTTAGTGCAGGGACAGCATTCAGCAGCATTTTATGGAGACCAATCCAATGTCTTCTGGCTACCTGGGAAGCACACTTGGCTGCAGTGACTGCCAGACATCCAGCAGCCCATGTGGAGCTAGACTCCAAAATCACTGGAGTCTGAACCTCCTCAAACTACACCTCCTCAAACTACTGGGATTTAGGAGGAGAAGCCACTGGACTTTGTATAAGAACAGCCCAACAGACATTCTTCCCTGTCCCCTCCTCTACGTAAGGAACTTCTGTTCAGGTGACTGTGCTTCCACAAAGCATAAGAAGTGGCTAAACATCACTTCAAGCAATTCAGTTTCTATAGGAGAACAAGCAACAAAGCCATTTTTTAATTCACGATCATCCTGTTACTCATGGGAGGCGCACATCACATTCCAAGTTTCAGACAACCACCAAAAATGCATTATCTAGATGAACTCTCCATCAACACAGCCTGCTTCAAGTAGCTTTCATGTTTCAGAATATATTTATAATACTTGTGATGACATATCTTTCATGGGTGACACTATATAATGTTTAGGATCCCTTTGTTGTTGTGTATTTTAAGCATAACTTTATAACACATTTCATTTGTTTAACAGAACATCGGAACAGACATTGTCATGGATGCCTGTTTTACTATAAATCCAACTATAGATATAGGACAGGTATGAACTTCCATAGTTTTGCTTTAAATTAGATGTTAGTGAACATTCCTCTTCATGCCTGTATGATTGCTGTTATTGGTCAATTTAATAGCCACCAAAGCCTATGAGACACTATCCATTATCCATCTCAAGGATGCTGGATTGACAGATGTACTAGTATTTGGTTTTATTTGGAGCTATAAGTGATACTAGGTTAAGTTTTCTACTTCTTGTTCATCTTCTGAGAAGTGATGAGAAAAGCAGATCCAACAGACTTTGGAAATGTCCTACAGGAGTAGCATCCTGAATCTCCTTATGACTTTTACCTGATCAATTTACTCTACCCCAGAATTACTGTCTGAGGGCTAAATCTTAACCAGCTGCCACACACTGTTACTTCAGCTGTGATGTAGTGGAAAAAGCTATTGAGATGGAATAGACCTTTCTTTAAAGGTCTGTTATATCCATAGCTTTGTATTATGGATTCAACTACCTATATCTACAGACAAATTGAATAGTGACAAAAGTGGTGTCACTCACTAATAGTGTGTAAATAAGAAAGTAGTGGTGAACTTAAAAGTGTAAAAAATATTTGTCATTTCTTTGCAGAGTCAAAGGAAATGCTCCTAAAAATATGATCTACATTTAAAAACCTTTTTTGTCCTCCTTATTTATCCTATTACAGGCTCATCCTCATATATTTGCCCTTTGCCTAAAAGATTATGTTCATTTTGCACATTCAAGGATTGCCAAATTTGTCAAATCATTCTTCCTTAGCAATTCAATTCTATGTTCACCTTGCACCAGTGTTTACGTCACCACTGTCATAGCCCAGGTGTCTACTCAGCAGTTGTTCCTTCCTACTTTAGGTTGGCCTGTTATTTTTTCTTCATATCCAACCTATCATTGATTTGTGTCTGAGATGTTTTTCTCTAGAATAAATTTCATTAGCTATCTGCAAATCTTTTTAAGCAAATATCAGATTGAGCAGACTATTTATGTCATAGTCCCTGGGCAAATATCTCCTCACTGGAGTTCCTGTGGATTTGACTCAATTCTCTTTGGCAATTTTGCAAAAGCAAATCAGAGGTAACTGTACCAGTTACAGTGAGTTTAGCTAGGAATAAGGAAGGGTAGAACTTGAGCCAATGAAAATATTTGTGTAAGTCAAATGAGGACAGCTTGGTCCTATTTTGGTCTATGTTGGCTAATTTCTACTTTTGGAAGGCAAGATGCCAGTTCATGTGTAATCTTAAAAAGTAAGTCTAATTGTATATATGTTTTTCTCTTCTAAAATGACTGAATGAGATGCAAAATTTTACCTTTTTTTCTTTGCTTAGATTGAAGGGGCCTTCATTCAGGGAGTTGGTCTTTATACGTTAGAAGAAATCTTCATTTCCCCAGAAGGAGAGCAGCTCACTCTTGGCCCGGATACATATAAGATCCCTGCCATCTGTGACATTCCCGAGCAGTTCTGTGTCTATTTACTGCCAAATTCACGTAACTCGATTGCTATCTATTCTTCCAAGGTAAACACGCCAAACCTACCATTTGCAAGCACACCAGGTGATTCTGCTGCAAAACCGTAAGTGACTATAGTGTATGGTAGACTTCCCCCCCC